GTTTTGTAAAATTTCGTTATATTATAAGTTCAAGTCCATTTGTATCTCACACTTGGTGGACTTATCAGGTCAGTTTCGATTTAACTAAAAAATAACTCATTCAGTGAAAGAGTGTACACTATCCATACAAAAAAAGAAATATAATATTTAATACCTAAGATATACAATATCGCTACTGTGAACTCACTCTGCTTTTTTTTTTTTTTTTTTTTTTATTGGACAATTCACACCAATTGACCTAGTCCCATGCTAAGCTGGTGAAGCTTGTGTTATGGGTACTAGACAACGGATATACATATATATTATAGATAGATAGACATATAAATACATATTTAAACACCCAAGACCTAAGCACAACACCAAATGCTCATCACATCGATGTTCGTCTCAGCCGGGGATCGAACCCGGGACCCATGGATTCGCAGTCAGGGGTACTAACCACTAGGCCAATGAGCCGTCGACACATATAAAGATGTCGTGTCGGAGACAGCATTCAGTAAGCCTAACGTCATTGTAAACGGGGATCTGTGCAACACACTGGCCTTTGGCAACCAACCTCGGTCTTCGACGTTGCACATATCCCCTAGGTAGAAAGAACCCGAGTTCTTGGAAAACACTTGGGTTGCTCACAACCACAGTTGACCGACTGTAAATCCCGTCTTGTTTCTAATTTAATGTATCCCACCATCCCCAAGACTAATTAATACCTTACCTTACCTACCTACCTTGATAACAATTATGTTTATAGAACGTTAAATACATTGAAGAGGGCTAATCTTTTAGTATGGTTTACATGGCCGGATGAACTAAAGTAAAAATCTAAGTCAATTTCAATAGTTAATTTGTTTATATTCAAATGAAGAAATTGACAAAAACTATTTTCACATAATAAAATATAAATTGGCGTTTATATAAAATAATTATTTATTATATATTTAACGTAAATAAAACAATGGACCATTGTGTTATATTTATTTTAAATAAATATTAATTCTTGACTTAATTGCAAAAAACTTAAATTTTGACTAATTAAAGATTATTATCATAATTTTTCGCAACTTTTGCATATAAATTACATGTTTAATTTTGCGTGAAGTTCATTAGCTATGTTAGTTTTGTTTGGAAAACCCAAGTCTATACAAGACTGGGAGCAGAGATTATAATCAGTCTTGTAATTGACAATTTATTAGACCCTTGTGATTTAAAATTACTCAAATGGGACATGGCGAAAAAGTACTTTGGATTTTGATACATAACCTTTATCGGACTATGATAACAAAGCTATTGAAGGCAAATTTTTCTTCTGCGTTTTCTTTCCGTAACTTTTAACCGAGTAAAAAAATGAAAAGGGGCTTTTTATAAGCCTCCACGGACGGAGGAGCTACCGATCTGGATGATCGAGGTTTCAAATGTTTCGGACGTCTCATAGAAAGGGTTTAGTGTGGCTTAGTAGAGTTATTTCAGCCATTTCCACTAGACTAAAACCTGGACGAGATTGGTTTACAATAAGGAAAAATGGAGGACAATGGGGGAGGCCTTTGCCCGTAGGCACACAGAATCAGTTATCGTAGATTAAGAAAAACAATATTTATAATGTAAATATTTTGTATTTCTGATATAAGGCTATATATATAGTATAGTTATTATTATTTGCGTTATGGAGTTTTTTTATCAAATTTAATAATGAAACTTTATATGACAATATATATACCTCATTCTTTATTTATATAGTTAATTAGCTTATAAGTTAAATAAAAAACCGATTATGTATGATTAGAAGTTCATAAAAAATAATTGCGTACAATGTGATATGAGAAAACGAGGTCATGACAGTTATAATTAAATATCCTTATTAAATCAAAATGTATGTTTTTTGTCATATAATATAGTTATTAATCCGGTAACAATATCAGTTCCTAGAAGTCTTGGGCCTAAGCTATATCACCTATGGCTTTCTTCATAACAAATACGCTTTTTTAATTCACATAAATATGACGTAAAAATGATATCTATTATAATTACATATTAGTTTGGCGAATTGGCTTGCCCGAGTATCCAGAAGAGCGCGCTGTGTGGGACCAAACCAAATTAAAACTACGCTCTATCCTTCTCTTCTTTCATTGTTAATGTCATAAAAACAAATGCTTCTTTCTAATGGATAAAACACACGACATCTAGATTTAAAAAGCAAGAGATATAAATGAAAACGTATTGCAAAAGATAGCTGCAAAACTGAATAAAAGAGGTGGAAGGAGTCAAGGGGTCAATTTCAGGGGAAATTCCTTTTTTTAGCTATCTTTTTTTTGTTTTAGCTTACTTACACATCCTAAGCGCTATTAATAACAGTGAACAATTTGAGTGTTCGTGAAAAATGATACTACAGATCTTCAGGAAATCACTTCCATGTACGATTTACTTGCATCTGTTTAGTGTCAATTCCACACAGAAAGATCCACGTGGCACGAGGTCAAAAGAGTGGCAGCCAAGGTTTGAATGCAGGACTTCGTTAAAAATGAGCTCAATTTAATAATTCTTCAATATTCATATTACAAACCCTTTTAAAGCAAGTAATAAATTTTTTTAATATATTATGGCCGTGTATACTTGATATTATATTGCATAATATTAGATTAATTACGTCAATAAACAGGAAGAGGAAAATGTGATTGTCTATGATAAAACTTATCAACACGTTTTATTTCCGTCACAGCGAACGACTTAAAAAATATTCGCATATATTACCTGTCCAACTGATAGAAGTTAATATAGATTAATAAAAAAATATCTTTACGAATGAAATTAGTAAAAGTAGCTTATACAGCTAGGAGTTGTATGCTTACCCAGAAATAAAAACTATTCAGATTCCATTGGATCTTCGTACCACGCCTTTTCAAGTTTGACATATCAGACAGAGCCTCAAGTGCTAAGCAAGGTTGTTTGATATATTTAAAGAAATCTTAAGCAAAAGTGCAGACGTATAAGACCAACTAATAATTTCAAATTTTGTTTACGAAGGCGACGAATTATGTTGAAATTCGAATACAGACTCACTCTTTAATATTAAGTGCATGCTAAGACTAAACTGACAAAAGACAATTTATATTAAAACGAACGGACGCAACAGACGTTGTGCCGTCTAATTATAAATATTGAATCCACTTCAAAAAACTTCACACAAAAATTCATTCAAATCAGTGGATCAAATTCGCCCAGAAGATTTATATGTATGTAACTAGTAGCATACTCGGCCAAGCGTTGCTGTGGCTTAGGTTTTTGTTATATTACATAGTAGTAAACTATTCAAAGGAAACGGCAGGAAAACAACAGCCATGGAGATCACCATGCTTTTTTGGTGGCTATGCCATTAAATTGTAGTTATGTGAAACGTTGGTACTTTCAACACAGCGCCATCTGTTAGAATCGTGTCAAATAATAAACAAATAATTTGCAATAAAATACCATTGCGGGTATAAATTGAGATGTAAGCTATCCTATCTTTTAAGTTGGATCAAACTACACGGTGTGCAAATTTGATTGATATCGGTTCGGTAGTTTAGGAGTCAAACAACGTGACACGTAATTTATATACATTAAGATATTTTAGTCTTTTCTCGACGGGCAGGTGGAGAACACAATAAATTAAAAGACCTTTAAATGATTTATGCGTCAGCGCAGAAATGACGAAAGAAATGCAAAAATTGTTGATTCAATACACCTCATTTAAATAGCCACCTACATACGAGAGAAAATCAATTGAAAAAAGTTGTGACCCGTATGTATGCAATCGTATTGTCTTGATCTATTACGTAACGATTACCTACATTCTGTTTTTACATAATATGGAGCATTTGTTAAAGATTTTACAGGTTTTGTTCGCAATTACCATGTATTTCACTATTACCTATGTCTCTTATGAGGTTAATAACCTTTGCTAACCCTAGATTACCAGGTCGCCTAACTTTTATACACTACTATTGTAAAAAGTAAATATATGTTTTTACATAAAAAATCGTCAGTTTCCATTGGACCACAGATGCAACTACATTTAGCATATTAATGAATGTATGAAATGAATTTTCTCATACATCAACACGGCTAAACTCATGAGACTTCTCTTCTCACGAATTTATGTCGTGGTTTTAATACTGTTTGATACAATCGCGTGTCAAACGTGCGAGGACAACACGACCCTTTACCGAAATGTTAGCGAAAATTAAGATGTAATTCTAAATTAATTTTTGGAACATTATCCTTAAGTTGTGTATTGATTGCACCAACCGTTCATGACTTCATAGAAAAAATTAAGCATGTAGTTCATACATAAGGTACCTCCGATGAACCTTCAATCGAAGAAGAATTGCTTGAAATTTTGTATTTCTTGTACCAAGACGAGACTGACAAAAAACGTTGAATATAGGTATTTAGTTAGATGTCTCATAAATAGTCTCACACTCTGAATCTCTTAAATAAATTACACATGAAAGGAAAAACAAAATCTATATCAAGTAATTGTTAAGTCAACAATTAATATTACAAGGACATAGAATGCTGCAGATTCACATTCGGGCTTCCCTCAATTCGGTCCAAAAGCATCAACTTCGGCATTCAATGATCACGATTCAGGCCTTTCAATTCGAATGCCATTTGTTAAGTCGCAAGGATATCACGGATTGAGGGAAAACCAGCCATAAGCGTTTTGTTTGAGATTCAAGAACGAGTTCAATTGCGACATCTTATTTCGAAGCTTTTATCTAAAGTATGACAATATAGTATCGTGCGGAGACAATAGCCACTTATACCATTTAGATTCTACATCTGCCATTATTTATCACCCGCACTAAAACCGCAGAATATTTATGATTAAAATCGAATGTTTTTTTGTTTCAGATCGTAAAAACCGTGTGCAGTGTAGTGTTTGTGTGTCCAAAAATGATAAAAAACGCGCAGTTCTACAGTTCGAAAGCAGTCATTTAATTTGTGAAAGTGATTTCGACTAGACAATGGCTTTGGCAAACTTCACGGTCCCCGTTGCCAATGTGGAAAGTCCAGCTATAGTTACGACTTCTTCAATACCTCTGAGAGTAGACCTTGACGACTTATTATACTCTCCAGAGGAACAACAAGCAGAATATGCTTCGCAATATACTGGCAATGAGCCGTTCCTACCGCCATCAAATCAGCAACAGAAAAGACCGAAAGTTCGAAAACGTGCTGGCACAGCTTACTTACCACCTCCTAATCAATTCACGCAATACCCACGTCAAAATGAGGTGCCATTAAACCCTTTCAACAGCCCACTACAGGTGCCGTTATATCAGAACTCAAGGCTCGACGTACAAGGGCCCAACCAAAGGGTTCAAGGTGGTGGTCAATATGACAATAATGGTCAGTACATCCATGATCCTACTGGCGATTACGATTACGAACAAAGAAGGATAGGTAAAACTGGAACACAGATTCCAACATACCCGGGTTATGCGGACTTACCATATCAACCAACCAATAACCAGGGGCAAACATCTAGTCGATTCGATGGAAACTCGAATAAAAACTACAATTTCGGTCCTGTGACAACTGCAGCGCCGTCAATCTCACGGAAGCAAAATGAGGCTGGGAAAAGGGTTAGTAATAGTGGTATTACTCCCCCGGATACACCAAGAGGCTTTACCAAAGTTGAGACGGGGACAGGAGGCAATACACAGCTTCACGCCGTCTTAGACTACGACGATGATGACTATTACGAAGATGATAGCTCGGGTAAGGCAATTATTTCACAATATAATATAATATTAACAGTTATTCACGGTTAAATACAAAAAGCCGTGGCAGGTAGTTCAGGTGCGGGTTAGTTCTAAGTTTACCTCGTTCATATAATCCTAGTAGTGAGATAACAATTCTTGTATGCGTTCCTGACACTTCATTTCTATATTACAAGATTAATAATAATAACCGTATATTCATCCACATCTTATTCACATACATTATACCAAAATAGATATATTTATATATAAATATATAATTTTACTAATCTAAGATGCGGCCTCTGTCCTGGAGAATGACCCCCACTTTTCTCTCTCTCCTCCAACTTTTCCCACCCTATTTTAGTTTTTACTTTCGTAATCCAATTTTTTCCAGCTACCCTTTCAATCTTGTCAGCCCATCTCTCTATTGGTCTGCCCTTGTTTCATTTTCCTTTTGGGCCAGTCTATTTATCCAGTTACATATAGGTATATACTAATATAGATATATGAACGTGTAACCATAGCAAATTTAAACATAGAAACAGATAACAATTTAGAAAACTAAATGATTTGGTACGAAAAACGTCTTAAACGTCTCACAGTTTATGTATAGAAAATACTTTGTATACAGAAATGATTGATTACAGTCCATATATCAAGGTATATCAGTACGACAGATACATAAACTAATTACAGGCATTCCAAATAGAAAAAACCTACGGTGACTGTCCTAAAGCAATTATAATAAAATCTTACACGCACAGATTGTTATCTGTTTAGTACTTGTAGGACATTGAGCCAACACGATCGATCCAATTACTTCCAGTATCGGTCAATAATAGGCGTATTTATCCTTGAAACTGCGTTCAATTCATAAGCGATGGCGAAATTAAATAGAGTTTTATCGTAACCAAGGATTGTTTATTGATCAGCTCTTATTTTTACTTCAGTAATTGTAAAGACCTTGGGAAACGATCGATCACGGTTACACAAATAAGTCTCTTTAAATATTGATAAACTACTTAATAGGTTGGTTGCTTAAGTTATAATTTGCTAATTGTAGCTGCCATTCGAATTTTAAATATGGAATTATTGAGGCATTCAAATGTGTATGTAACAGGTAATTCAAAGAGTAAACAAGAATCGAAATCGTAATATTTTGCTCTGCCTTTTTATTTAGGTTGACATAAACGGTTATAATATGTATTCTAGTAAACTTTTTATCCCTCTATTAAAACTTGGAGGTTCTAGCATCGATTCAGATTTTGCAATAGGAAATAATAATTTACCGCTGTTCACTACTATAGCGACATATTTCGAATCTGCATTATAATTTGTAACTGTGTATAATTTGTAAGTATGAATAATCTTATAATATCAAAGTTTTCATACAAAATTTAATCTAGCGTCACTTGTCAAAACCATGATAGCTCTGTGCCAAACGTTCTTAATTCATGTAAATTCGATTCTAAACAAAGTTACTCAAATTTAATGAACTAATTTTAAAAACGGGTATTATTACGATTGCCCCACAGCATTCTTCTCCAGTCTCAGCTAGAAATATATTAGATTTATTACAAAGTTCATCTAAGCACGTAGTCGTAGAACGTAGGTATTAACCTTGGCATCACTTTCGAAGACATTTGTATGAGGTCATAACTGTCAAATTTTTACTCATTATAACGTGTCCAAAATTATATATATTGAGTAGCAGAGCTTAAAGCTTTTCGAACCAATTCGACTCAGGCACTCTGTGGCATTGAGTGGCCAGGATTGTCCATCACATAACATCCGGTGAGCCGTGTCCGTTTGCCCCCTGTTCTGTTAAACATTAATAGTAATAAACAATTTACAATTCTGTTGTATAAAACCATCTTGACTAATATTATAAAGCGAAAATCTTGGAGACTATTGGTTGTAAAATTATTGTATTGAGTAGTCTTTTTATAGAGAAAGCCGTAAGGGTATTCACTATTCAATATGAAAAGAGTTAGATGATCTAGTTCTTAGGGAGGATTATAGGAGATAATTCACTTCACTGCCTTTACATAAACTGTATAATTTTTAATTGAAATAAAGAAATTCCCCGGCGCATGTGCCAGAACTTCTTTTATATTCTATTCCCTACTGTGACTCGACTATCCAACTTCGGGCAGATGTTCGATGTCCATTCGTAAACAAACGAACGAACAGTCATAAGAGCAACTATGGCATCTTAAGAATATATTTATATAATTCAAAATGTTAAGAATTTAATTAAATACATATTAAAAGCTAACAATATAATGCAGTAACGCGGGTAGCTTAGAGACACAATGATAAAATATCAAATTCGTTCCGGTGTCAATTCGTGTACATAAAATAGTACTTAGAGCCTTGAGTTTACGTTTGTTGAACTGCATTATTCATAAGATCAAAAAAGTGTATACTATAATATAAAGAATAATATTTAAATGATTTTAATATGAGCATGTTAGGGTAGCGAGTGTTGCCGGCCCTCTAATGGTGTTGTGTTATATCTGTATATAACTATTGTTTTTATTATAAAAATACAAAGCTAAAATAAGTAATTTAAAAAATATCTTAAAAGTCTTCTTTAAATAAAGTAAGTTTAAAATTACCTTTTGTTTAAAGGTAAATCTTTATGCAAAAAGGGTGCGAGTACATGTACGCGCGTAAGAAGTTATACTTCTTTGGCATTATTAAAAATAGTTTTTGATTGCATGCAAATAATTAATTACAATTAAATAATCAAAGACTGGAAAAGGAGTCATTATAGTCAATAAAGTTCAGTTTACATTTGAAAAATTAAATAAATAAATATTTATTATTATTGTGGCAACTTAATTCTGTTAATTTTGTGTCACGGTGCGCGCGCATCGTAAAATTTCACTCCCATCAATTTTTCATAACGCGCCTAAAGAAGTATAACTTCAAAAATATTTCGAAATTTATTTATTTTAAAATATTTGGGTGTAGGTATCTCATTTCTATTAGCTTGTAATTATTTGTGCCTTAAATGTAAATACCGTGCACGTAAATTCTTTTATTGTTAAAACGTTTTTATTGAACACAATTAATTTTGTACGTTAAAACAAATCATTTCGCATACGTTTAGGATTAAAACTTTACATTAATTTAGCTTGCCATAAATTATTATTAATATGAAATAAATATTTAATATCTGTATACGTCCGATAAATATACACATATTTTCCATTAATAGTAAAAAATAATTATAGTAAACGTAAGTTGGTCTACTGTTTATTTTTTTATGTAAAGAATGTTATGGTGAAACTATTATTATTATAATAATCTGAATAATTATAAAATAAATAATTTGTTACCATTAACTCGGAAAGCCTGTACTGTATTCGTTAACATAGCTACCATTTTTAATCTATGAACATCGTAACCATAGTAACAACGTGATATCTAGTCCACGTTTTATAAGTCCGAAAGAGTTTAAGATCATCTGTCCGCGTCATTTGACCGTTACGTTACGGCTTATAACTTCCACTTTCATTTTCTCGACATTCGAATGACCTTTACGAACGTGTTCAATATGAGACTTTACACATTGCGTTCTTAATAAATTACTTGTTTACGCTAATCGGACATCGGCTTGGAGAAAAAAAAAGCCTCTATACAACCAGCTTCGTTGACGCTTCTCATAATGGGCGTGTTTGGCCGAAGTAAGTACTTACTAAATTTAGTAAGTCACTTACTATGCTTACAAAATTTTCGGCCGGGACACAAAATAAGTGCTAACGCAGTAAGTATGGCTTAATATACGACGCCATTTTGCTTATTGTTGATGTAAACAAAACGGACAATAAAATATCCAATAAAATATTTCTCATAAAATTATCCATTTGAAACTATTCACAGGTATTAAATTATATTCCTAAATTTAGTACTGTCAATTATATTCAGTCTATGAGGTTATGTACGGGATATGACATAAACCGGTGTTTTGTGTTATGTTAATAAGCCAGTAAGTCTGTCCTGGCCGAAAAGCGCTACAGTCAGCTTGTAAGACTTTAATTTTTTTATGCTTACTGGCTTACTAAGTTTAGTAAGTACTTACTTCGGCCAAACACGCCCATTATATTATGATGACTAATAATTATGTAGGTTGTCAAAAAGTCAAAAGTCAAAAATCATTTATTCATATATGTACACTTATGAACGTCAAAAATAAATATACATTAAATGCTTCTAAATATACATTTACTGCCAGTTCTCAAATCAAGGGAGTAGAACGGAAGAGAAGAACTGGCAATAAACTCTCCGCCACTGTTTTTAATCGCCAAGTTTTTTGTTTTACACAACGTTTGTAAGGAGCTGCAACACAGCTGTTCCACATGACATCTTAAGTAATAAATAATAATAAAATAAATTAACAACAAAGATTTGTCCTCTATCAGCAGGAGGCATGGTGAAATAGGAGCACGCACTTACATTCTCGTGGGAACAACACGCAAATACATAGTCGAGTCGAGTTGAGTTTCACTTCTACACTGCGCTTACCGTTTGACTTCTTTATGTGTAAAAAGTATTACTAAAACGTTCATTAGCTTCTTGACACCAGACCTACCATTACTTGCCTATATATGCACATATATATCTTCAAATAATTCTTTAAACTTAAAATATTTGGCTGGTAGATAGTACCGGTGACCCGAGATCTGGTGCTTTCCTCGCTCAACACATCGCAATACAGCGAGGAATTGCTGCCAGCATTATACGTCACTACCACAAGGACCTTTTTAAATTTGTTGAAGTTTTTTTTTTATCCATTTTTAATTTTTATTATTATGTTGTTTAAGATTATCATAAATACTCCACATTTGTTCGTTATTAAATATATTTCCATTTTGTTACCAAAAGTCTTTGATGACCGCAGAAAGAAACAGCTAGAGTTTTCTTAGTTTCTCCAGAAAGCTACACCAATTTGCTCTAGGATAACAAATTAGAACAATTAATTGAATGATTATTCAGTCTCAACACGTATGAAAGTGAAAAACTCAGAAACACCCAAACCCCAAAAAAAAAACCAGTGGCGC